AAGTTCACATTCGCTGCGAGCACAATATTGAGAAGAGACCCACATAACGTGGAAATAAAAGTGAATCGTTGTTGCCGATGCAAAAATCTGCTCGCTCGCGCGTTTGATAATTAAAATCTGGTTTGACGCAACGCGCGCAGTTGCATCAAACTCGCGCTTCTCACATAATTAGCCGCGGCTCGTTTTCTCATGATCCGAAACTGCTCCATTAGCCGAAGACGAACCAAATGAGTTGTGAACTTTTTACTTTCACTCACCCGCGCACACATATGTGTGTGGACCTTTCGGATAAATTGCTCAAAGATCTTTGGCAAGCTCCTTTTTATTGCCCAAGCAGAGGATTAAATCTTTTTCTCGTGTAACATATATTATGATCATATTGCGGCCATAAATTGATTTCAGAGCACCTGGCTCGCTTCTTCTTCTTTCACGTTTTCCAATTATTTTTATGTGATGTAAAATTTCGGCGAATCGCACGCGAACCACTTTTTGGCGTCAAAAGCCGACCTTGCCGCCAAGATTCTTCTTCATATTTTTTTTTCTTCTTTTGAAGCGACGCAGCTCTCGCAAACAGGAATTCCTAGCGGCACCTGCGAATTGGGGAAAGGACCTCGGGTGCGGCGGGGTCATGAGCTTGCTGGACCTTTTAATCTGCCGCTGCGTGAACGAGGCTGCCTTAATCAAGTGGCTCGCAGAATGAGAAACGTGCGAGAAAATCTTTCTCCTTTTTCGTCTCTTTTATTTTCGCACAAGAGAGGAAAGTTGCAACAAGCACACCTAACCATCAATTTGTCGAGACATAATACTCCTTAATAGGACAATTAAGTGCTATATTTAGGCATGAGAGAGAGAGCATCAAATTACTGAAGAAATAATAATACTATTAAGAATTTGTAAAAAGAAGTATTTTTTACAGTTTCCAAGTATTGAAATTTTTTTATGAATAATTAAATTAGTATTAGTCAGCGAGCAGCGCGTTTGCTCATGAAATAGGGTCGCAGACCGTGACCGAAACTGGTAGAGCCATTTGTTTTTGAATAAAAACAATTTTTCTGCAACGAGGAAAAGCCCGATCGCTTCATTTCCATGATCATCTCCTCGAGTGTCAACTTCTTCAAATAATTAAATTATTAACATTTTATTTTAATTTGAATGATTCTTACTAAACCCCATCCTGATTTGCTAATTTCTTTAAATATTTAAATATTATTAATTAGTGCTGGGAATAAAAATTAGCTTGTTTTCAATGGGCTGTTGAGAATTTATCATGAAAAGTAATTTATTTCTTGAAAACTCAAAAAAGTCAAATCATGAATAATTGGGGGACATTCACTAGAGATATCCTCCCCGGCTATATTTATAACGTGGTGGGATGTCATCTCTACTTATTTTTTTTCTTCTTTAATTTTTCCAATATTTTCTTGCGAAACTTGAAAACATGCATAAACTGTAGTAAAATAGAAAATTTAATTCAATAAATTATGTTGAGCATTGGAACAAAAATGAAATATTTTTAGCCACAAAATCACATTTTTACTGTTTTAGAATTAAAATACATTTACAATAATTTTCAATATTCATTTATTTGCTCATATACTTACTAGTCCTAGTACCATTTATTTCTAGTGTTGAAAAATTCTGGACATGGGAACTCTCCTAGAAAATATTTGTTGGAATATTCAATTTCCGCTAAAAATTAAAAAAAAAAAAATATTAAATACATGATTTTGCATAAAATCATTCTTCATTTAGGACATGAAAAAGTAAAATTGATCACAAAAGTAAAAGCTAGAGAAAGAAAAAATGCATTAAAAGACAAACATCTAGAAGCAAAAATAGCTCTGGGGCTAATTACTGCTGCTGGACATCACAATTTATTTAGAAAACGAGTCTTCTCTTAATTTATGTTAACACCTGCTTTATGTTTTCTATAGAAATTCCTGCGCTCGTTAATCTCAACACCTCATCAGGTCAGTGAAACCTTAATAGTTTTTTCCGAATCGGGGTGAAATCCTGTTTCACACCCTCCAGCTACAAGTGTATGGCAGCGTGCGAATTGACACTTCGGAGCGGAAAGGTTGCTCACGAAAATCATAGTCATGCCAGAAATCGCAAAAGAAAGAAAATTACCAAGAGTGTGTGTGTGGCGCATTCCTTCTCGCTTCTTTTAATAATAATTCCTTTTCACAGATGAATCGCCGAAAACACACGTGCTAAAAACTACCGTTAAAAATGCTTCGCGCGCGCGGCAGTTCCTTTTGGACTCTTCTCCGAGAGTGGGTCAAGTGATCGCCTGCAGTGCACGCAGCCCACCGAGCACTTCGCTCTCTCTGCTCCGTCGCAGCATCCAGCCGACCACAATAGCACTCACATAATTTTTAAACCTATCCATTTTATCACAAGTGCAATTTAATTGAAAAAGAAAGGGGAAATAGGAAAAAATAAAATGTTTTGAAAGGAGATTCACTTAAAAAACTTAATTTCTTTTTTGAAACTGTGAGACACAACTATGCTAATAAATTGAAAATTAGTACAAAAAACAAACACTCAAACTAACAAATTAACAATAAAAAAGTGAAGCATAAAAATGATAAAAAGTTGAGAGTTTCAGGCTTAAAGATTAATTACTATTAAAATTTAAGAACTTCTTTTAGTAAATTTTATAGACGAATGGAATTTAAAGACCCATTACAATCTAAAAATCACAAAAAAATATTGGGTTAATTGAGAAAAATTTAAACAATAAATCTTTAGAAACACCTGGCTTCAATGTAAATGTCAGAATAAAGCAAAAAAAAGCCACATTTTTTTGCCGAAAATTCAAATAAATCAATTTAGATTTAGAGACAAATTGTTAAATACAATTTTAATTTTATTCCCAGCATGGAACAACATCTCCATATCAAATATGTACATTTTTTTAGCTATATATTTTAATTGTACGCAGTTTACTTGCCTCCATTCTAATTGGTTTACAGCTCTCAATAAAAAATATTTCTCAACATTTAAAAACTAGATTAAGCAAATACGAGTTCAATTAACGGTTGATGAGTTCTATTTAATTCTCAATTTTGGCACGCAGATAAATCTCTGAATAACCAAAAATGTTGCTGATTTTATCTTCTATTGACGTTTATAGAAAATTGTATATATACATTACGACAGCAGAAATATCTCCGTAACTTCTTACGAAGCCTTTCAAAAGTAGGCATTCCAAAGATCTACAACTGATTGTGAGAATTATTTAAAAACTTCTGCGTAAAACGTTTTGTACTAAAAACCATAAACTAAAATCTCTCAGGAGATTTTGTCCCCAAGGCCTTTATTTGCTTTCTCGCACCTCTTTATTTTCACTCTTTTCCTTGAACCATTTTTTACCTTGTTTCTTTTATTGCCGGGGATTTCACTGCTAAATCATGCAGATTCTGCGTATTACGATCAAGTCAATAAAGTAGATGAACTGGCAGAGTTCTTCAGTGATGCCAATAAAAAAGAGTTTACAAATTATAAATCAAAATCGTCCTCATTTCCAAGCCGATTTTAAAATAAAAGGAGAATGCACGCTGGTCACGGCCAGACGAGTCAAAGTTGCATGAACTTGCAAAGAGGTTTTTTTCTGTTCTTGGATTTGAATTGCAAAGAGAGCATTGTTGTGCATTAAACAAACCGAATGACACCAAGAGGTGTGCGTGGAATTGCTAAAGAAGGGTTAGGCAAAGAAAAGAATGCCAAGATTTTTTTAGTTTCAAAGAATTTATGCACAAATTATTTTATCCCTCCACGACCTCCACTGTATAGAGTAACAAATATTACAGCAAATAACATTATTTAAAAATTGACTCTCCATTTGATTGGTAATTGGTTTTCAAATAAATAATTTTACATTATCTTAGTTTCAATCTGATTAGTAGTTTCAATTTCTAATTTAAGACAATAGTAAAAATTATATAAAAAGAGTGACCTGATTAAATCATATTATTATGATCAATATTAATATTATCAAGGATCGTCAATTTATTTTGAAATTTTAAAGATAACGGTTTTAAATTATGATCATGGAAAGTTACTTGAAATTAAAATTATTACTATTTCATTCATTCTAGTACATTCTAGCTTTTTAAAAGTTATTGTTTATTTATATTAAAAAAGTATTTCCTAAGAATTATTTAAATCAATATAATAAATTAATAGAGTTAAAATGAAATATTAAAAATTAAATATATTACAATAACTAATTGCTGAATCTTATCTTCACAAACAATTAATTCCATAAATATCTACTTATTCATTCCTAATAGTAAATTTACGGCTGTGATTTAATCGTTGAATATGAACGTTCATAAATTGGGAATTTGAGGTAAAAATTTCATTTTGCATTTTTATGTCAAAAATAAATTTTAGGATAAAAATATTTTGGAAAATTAAAAGAATGATAAATTTAGGCCAACAATCAAAAGGTGACGTCAAATTTAGACAAGAAATGCTAAAAAGACGGAAATGTCAAAATTTTATAAACAAACATGTTTGTATTTGTGCATTATAAAATTCAATGAAATTATATTCCAAGGTTTATTTGAATAAAAGAACTGGTAAGACTGAGGATCATTGCGGTGGATGGGTACATTTCATGTACACAGGAAGCTTTAGTACATTTATTTTTATTGCAATTAATCCAACTAATCAAACGTATAATTTTTCCATTAATTGTAACATTGTAAGTAAAATATTTTGCAACCATTCAAAAATAATTGTGTAGATACTGTCAAAGGAATACTGTGTGCCTCATTAATGCAAGATATAAATATGATTATGGAAAGCTGATCAACCCACCACGAATAGCCCAAAAAGCCGGGTCCATTCATCGCGGCGGCTGCAGGTTGGCCGGCAAAGGAGAAGCAAGCAAAGGAAGGCGACCTGAAGTGAGAGGTGGAACCGCTCCCCCCTCCCGTCGGAAACCCACCTGTGCACACCGGCGGCAAGGTGTGCACAGTCCGACTGCACGCGTCCTCCGAGACACAGGCTGGTGAGTGCGACATGCAGTGGTCCAGCTGAAGCGCCACCCTTTCGAGGAGCCACCCCGTTTGTCCAGTGCCATAACGCGACAAACAACCCCAGCCTCTTCGTCTCGCCAGCGACACTCAAAACTCTTGATTCCTCGGCCAAACACAGTGCATGTGTGTGTGACAAAATGAGGAAGAAAAACTGCACAGCGATTTCGCTGATCGGATTATTAGTGATTGGCGTGTGTGTCCTCGCCACTGCAAATGCGGCAGGTAAGTCAAAATTTTATGATTCAACTCGTTTTTGTTTATTACATGTGCAGATTTGTTCTCATTTTTAGAGGGGGTTGTAAGAAAAGTTGGAAAAAATTTGTTTACAAAAATTTTAGTGCAAATTTTATTTTTTAAATTATTTGATTTTGAACAGATAAAATTCTACTTCTAAACATCTGAAAAAAGCTGTTTAGAATTTTGTACTTCCTGACCTCTAAATATTGGGGAAAGAAAAGTCATCAGAAAAAATATGCTTTTATAATCTCAGCTAATAAGTCAATAAGTTAAATTCAATTTGAATAAAATTTCTATATTTAAAGAAAATATTGTGATCTCTTAATACAAGGTTTTAATTTTAATTGCAGGGAAAAATCAATCGATTTCTAAATTCAATCAAAGTGCACTATTCGAGTCAAAGAAACTGAAAGAAACGCAAGAGGAAACAATTTTGCGGTAACAAAGTATGATTAATGTGAAATTAAAAGTACCACAAAACGATTCGCCGCGATGAAAACAGTGAAGCGTCGGGTTCGAAAACCTCGTTCTCGTTGCAAACAATTAACGGCAGAAGAGAAGAAAAATCATCAGCGTAATTATTGTTGTTCCGTCGCGGTCTTGCATCTTCTTATTTATATTCTTTCGCGTGTGTTTCCATCTCGGAAGTTTTCATTCAGCCGCGTGCACCACTGTGTAATTTGTGATGCAGGTGCAACGCCAGAGCCGCAAATTATCGCTCGAGAAAGAAAGCAAGCAAGGGACGCGCCTATACTTTGCAAAACCACTTAATGCATTACGACTCCCAAGAAAGATACAAATCTCATTACCATTAGTTACAATTATACCTTCGTAATATTAAATAATTCCAATGCACGTTCCAGATAATATTTTTTTATATAATAAAAATCTGAAAAAGATCACGATTTCGATCAAGTATCACTTAAATTACGTGAATCTTATATATCGGCTCCTTCGAATCCAAGGTCATGACGTCTGGAAGATGGAAATGATTATCACAAATTTTTCTGTTCCTGAATAGAGCTGCGGTCTGAAGTCCCATATTGACCATAATGCATTCTCTGACTCCTCATTATCGAGCCAGGAGTTATTTTTAATGAGCTTTTCCTCCTCTCAAAGGGGTGCTCGCAGCAGGAGTGGAAAAAAAATCATCTTTCTTCGTCTCTCTGCTGAGCTGGACCCAAAGTCGAATTACGAAAGAAGGTCATGATCGTCTGTGGATTAACAAAACTAATTAGGTTTGACAAGCGGCGGCTCTGCATACCGGCGAACGAACAAAGCGCACACGCACAAATGAAAAGAGGAGGAAAATGAGAACGAATGAGCGGTAGTTATAACTAAGCCTCTTCAAAACAAAGGGCTATAATGCACTCTTATGCTAATGAAAGCAGCGGTTGTGAAATGGAATAAAAAGCACTGACCGGCGCGTACTTCTTTCGTAATTCGAACAAAAGTATGTTTGATAATCAAAAGTCATTGCTCCTTATTAAACCTGCATACATAGACGCGGTATAAAAGTAATTGCAAAATTTACTTAACGGTAAAAAAAGTGAATATTGGGGAGAAAAAAAAAGAAATTTAAAATGATTTTATTCAAAAACCTAATTGATTTGATTCTGATCTATATTTTATTTAATTAATTTTTATAAATATATTACAAACTAAAATGAGCCAATTTTATTTTAGTTACGCTTTCAAACCACCAATTTGTGGTGAAATAATTAGAGTTAAACACAGCATTTATTTATAAAATTTATATTTTTCAAACACGAGTGTCTTCTCGGTTGAAACTCCATAAAATTTCCATTCTCTGCGGAATGAGAGCTTTTCAAAGCGAAAATTGAAAGGCAAGCAATTTCTTACTCATATATTGATCTACAAATTTACGACGACGAAATACGCATAATGTCCCGTCGTCGAACGTGTGCCAGTTTTCTCTTTTAATAATCCGCAGCAGCTTCCACTTTTCGTCCGTTTGCACTTGTCTTGCTCATTTATATACATATATGTACTCCTTATTGCTAATTATTCACGCGCGAGCGGTACATTAGAAAGTACATTCATCATTTCATTGATCAATGTTGAACGTATTTATGATCAGTTGGTTTATAATCTAATTAAAAGACAAAGAGGGAAAAAGAGGAATCGGCGGAATGGGGGGCAGCAAACTTGTTGCAGACATTTTATTTTGATTGACCCAGGGCGGAGAAAGTCTTTGGCCCTTTTTCGTTACATTCTTGCTGCTCTCTCGCGGCAACCTTTAGCCTTTACCTATGAAGCAACCTGTAGTGAAATTTCCCCGTAATGCACCGCGATGAAGATGCAAAAAAAAAAAAACGTGAACAGCTGTTATTTTGCATTTGTCACGAAATGGAGAAGTGTTTTTTCTCACTGGGTCAAATGAGTCAAAGTTCACACCTATCATTGCAATTATTTCCTCTCGTTCGTTTCCGATTGTGAGAATGAATGTGATTTTTTTCTTTCTGCTGCACCCGATGCGTGCATGCGTGCGTAGTAACTGTTAAGTGCGCGAATTACGGCAAATATGTGTGCGCTTTGCGAAGGTAGGAGAAAAAGCTGCAGATAGATTTTATCGACGGCGCGACCAACTTTCGAGAAGCAGCCGCGAGTAGTGAGTTTGGGTGCGGTCATTAATAACATCCATAGCTGCTTTACAGTTAGCGGAGGCCGCGAGTGTGCGCGCATATTTGCCATATTCGCAAGATCTTTTATTTCTCTTCGTTATGCGGCGGAAGAACGTGTTTCTGCACAAATAACGCTGCGCTTACTGGGCCAAATATCTTCCATCAGATTTTGTTGAATGTTATTTCAAAGTAGAATAATTTTTTTTAATTAAATATATATTTTATTATAAAAAGTAATTTATCAGGTTTAATAAAAAATCCCATTAATTAACATCCAGGATCAAATTAATTATGATAATTATTTTTTTTTCTGATCTCAGCTATTTCACATTTGGAGAAAATCAATATAAATTTAATACCCCTTACAACTGCATGGAAAATTACTCTTACCAATGCAATTAAAATATTTGTTCGCTGGAATATAATTATATTTTATTGTTTTGCAAAAATAAAAAAAATTAAATTCTCTATTTTAATAAAACACAAAAATAGCCTAGCCAAATAAACATTGCTCTAAAAAGTGTTAACAAAGTTAATATAATATAAAAATTAAAAAAAAATATATTTATATAAAAATAATAATAGTATATATAAAATATTAAATTTTATTTTATATTTTTAATAATTTTTTTTCTTAACTTACTAAATTATTATTTTTACAAAATTTTTAGCACGTTAACCACTTTAAAGTTAACTAATTGATGATTGCCAGAAAGGCTGGCTGCTCTAGATCACGACGGCCAAAAATACGCGCCGAAGAAATTCCGTTTGAAGAGCTCTACGGGCCGCTTAATCTTCCACGAAGCGTGCAATTTAGCCGGCAGAATAAGTAATCGGCCCTCAAAATCCACTCCAATTGCACACGTTTGCTCATTCCCATGATCAATTCCATTTTTGCTTCTCTCTCTCCGGCTGAAGGGCGCCGATTATATCGGATTAGGCAGCGACTGTGGAAGAAGTGCGTGATTTTTGGAATAACGGCGGAAGGCGAAAGGCGCGGTTGTTTTCCGCGAGAGACTCCTCTAATTCGTATCACTGCGCTAATGGATTATTGTCGTCGGCAGATCCCGTTGCGCGAAACGCAAATTCACACCATGGTGGCGACGCGAATCGCCATAGCGTCGTCCACTGCTCCGATTCGCCGCTTAATTCGCGTGCGATACTTTGTAGAGCTGAAAAATTACACTGCCGGAAGCATTAATTTCGGGTGGTCTACACTTCTTGTCCGCAGATAAGAAAGAAAACACGCTTTTTATACTCGAGGAGGAGTTAAGTAAGAGAACATGAAAATATAAATGCCCAAAGTGGGAGGAAGCTTTGTCTTACCGTAATTGCGTTTGGACCGCGAGAGAGAGGATATGATTACGAGTCTCAAATAAAAATTCCGTGAGGAGCAAGTGGTCCGTTGAAACGAGGTTCCGTAGATTAACGTAAATTGATATGTCAAGGAATAATAATTTGATAGAAAAAAATGAGATGCTGGACCATCACTTTGTTGATAAGGAAAGGAGATATTATTGAATTTTTAGAGAGAAATCAGTTCGAGGAAAATAATTGGTTGGAAGGCTGAATGAAATTTCCAGAAATTCATGTGATGAAATCAAAAGAATCTATTGTTAGATTATGTTGTAATTTTCAATAGAAAAATATCTAGATAATATATGTTTGTTATTGGACAAATAAAAATAGAATTTCCATATTTTAAAAGGTGTGAATGAATTTGTAAAAATGAAAGGACAGACGAAATCAATTTTGTAAACATTCTGCCATTTAAACGTAAGAAACTATTTTACTACAAAAAGAAATTTTGCAGATTATTTTGGCCAAAATTTAAAGATTTGATTGAATGATAATATTCAGGTTTTCATTTACCAATATTATACTCCACCTAATCCAATTGATAGAAAAAATGTTATTTTTTTTTAAGAAATTGTAAAGAAAAATCTAGAGTCTTGTTGTGTAAAGAAACCTATGGTCAAAGAATTTATTTACCATGACGCCATGAATTATTTTCAAGAAAGCAATAAAGAAAAACATAAAAATTGACTAGATGGAAGCAACAAATACAAAAATCCTGACTAAAACAACCGGTTTAATTAGCAACCAAACGAATTCCGTAAGAAAATATACTTTTAAATACGTAATAAAACACAAAAAAGAGCGTTTGTTCGCTTAAAAAAAAAAAACACATTTTTACAACTAGTGTAAATTAGCATGATCAGAAAAGCAAAAGGCGTGCAAACGAAGATTAATACTACAAAAAGCAACGCATGAAAAGAAGGAGTGTGAGCGAGAGAGAAAAAATATTATTATTATCACGGAGAGGCAGACACACAGTGC